CTAAGCTCAAACTTAAGACTGATAGCTGGGTTCAGGCGTGGAAGGATGTCTTTGAGGCTTATGACTCCCTTCAATCCTGAAGAATGAGTACAACATGCTGGCAGAGGTCAATGCCACCCTACTGAAGGAGGTCGAAGCTGAAAGGACCGCGACTCGAAAGAAGGATGCCCTGATTGCGGAGCTCAAAGATGAGGCTACTACAAACTGCGCTACAAGGTATTTTTATTTTCAGGAGCAGACCATGGATAAATACTCAAATCAAGACTTTGACTTCGACCCTTATCTGGACAAGGAGAAAGACAAGTCAGCTACAGAAAAGGAGGTAGAGGTTCCAACATGAACTCTTGAAGTCTCCAAGCTGAAGCCACAACTTTGCGAAGTCTGATTGCCTTTGAAGATCACGGGAAGAAGAAAGGGAGTCATCTCTTGGACATTCTTGAAGTTGACGATTAAAGTACTGTAATTTTTTTTTATTATTGAATTGGGTTGCAAATTTTGATGGGATTTTATTGATCTATTATGATTGTTTGTGCAAATTTGTACTAACCCTTTCCAATTTATAACATTTCCAGCAAATTAGCAACAAATTGCTGGGCGTAATTTTTCTATAATTACATTGAATTGTGCCTAGTTAGTGGGCATACATTTTTCGACAACTCCCAATCTTAAACTATGCATAATTATTTTAAATTGGTTTGAGTTGGCTTTAAGTTGTTTATCATTAGAAGTTTCAATCTTATTTTAATGCTATTGCTGATAATATTATTTTATCTAAGTTAGTTATTGCCCTTATTTGTTTCTACGTTGGGTTATTGCTTTTATTTGTGTCAAATAAACTCTGTATTTATCCTTAATGCATATGTTATCTTATTAAAAAAAAATTAAACAGTCATGGAAAGATACGTCAAGAGAAAGTTAGAGTTAGAATTGCCACTTCCTGCAAAAATAAATGGTGATTCTAATTCTTCAAAACAAAGTAGCATCGAAATTAACTTGATGAATCTTCCCTTGGATCTAGGCTTACGACCTCGAATTATGGACTATAATTCTAATGATCGAGACCAAATTCATAAAGTATCTACAAAAAAAAATGTGGTGCTAAGCTACGAAGGTTTAACCAAGCTTGGTTTTTGAGTTTAGTAATTGGCTTGAGTATAGCATATTAAAAGATATTGCATTTTGCCAATATTAATATCTTTTGAAACCTGACACTGTAGAACAGACAAGTGGCGATTCCTTTGTTAGTGAGGGTTTTTCAAATTGAAAGATGAAAGAGAAACTTTAAACTCACGTTGGAAGTTTTAGTAGTTCTCACAACCAAGCTTGGAGAAAATGTCAAGATTTACTAAACCAAAAACAAAACCATGAGACAATTTTCTTCAAGCAACCGGACCAAACTCGTAGTGAGTATAAGACCGCCTAAACACATCAATTGATTGCATCCGATTCCTTTTAAGACAAGGGCTTGTATTTTGTGATCACGATGAATATGATATTTCAAGTAGTCAAGGAAACTTTTTTGAGCTTATGAAATTTCTTGTTGATCACAATGAAGTTGTCAAAGCTGTTGCATTGAAAAATGCTCCTAAAAATATAAAGTTGATGGCACTTGATATACAAAAAGACATTGTAAATGCAGTTGTGGTTGAAACCAATACTGCTATCATTACCCTTTTTGCTGCACTTTTCTTGGTTCTTGTTGATGAATCTCGTGATATATCAAAAAAGAAACATATGGTTGTTGTATTGCCATATCTGGACAAGAAAAGGCATGTAATTGAGTGTCTTTTAGGGATTGAACATGTTACTAGTACAACTGTTCTCTCACTTAAGACAGCGGTTGAAGACTTATTTTTAAGACATGGGTTTACTTGTCTAGATTATGTGGGCAATGTTATGATGGGGCTAGTAATATGTAGGGTGAGTTCAATGGTCTTAAAGCGCTTATGTTGAAACAAAACAGATCTGCGTATTATGTTAATTACTTTGCTCATCAATTACAATTAGCTCTTGTGACTGTGGTGGCAAAGAATCATATTCAGATTGCCACAGTCTTCACTTTGGTTGGTAATGTGGTGAATGTTGTCGGAGGCTCGTGCAAACGATGAGATATTCTTCGGGAGAAACATGCTACTCAAGTTATTGAAGCACTTAATAATGGGGAGCTTCCAAGTGGGCAAGGCTTAAATCAAGAGACTAGCCTTAAACGTTCAAGTGATACACATTGGGGTTTACACTATAATACTCTGAGAAACTTGATTGATATGTTCTCGTCAGCAGTTGATGTGCTTGAAATAATTTCAAAGGATGGTTCAAATGCTGAAAAAATAGGGGAAGCAAATGTTCTTTTTGGTTTGTTGCAATCATTTGGATTTTTCTTTAATCTTCATTTAATGAGAAGTATATTGGGAATCACGAATGAATTTTTGCAATAATTACAAATGAAAGATCAAGATATTGTGAATGCTATGAAATTAGTTCAAGTGTCTAAGCAACGACTCCAAATGATGAGGGAGAATGAGTGGAGTTTTTTACTTGATGACGTTTCTTCTTTTGTGGCAAACATGATATCATTGTTCCAAATATGGATGATAAGTTTCAAGCTCGAGGGAAGTTAATTCGTAAAGCTCCAAAAATGACAAACTTAGATCACTATCGTTTTGAGCTATTTTATGTTGCAACTTCAAGAGCTAAATGATCGTTTCACATAATCAAACACCAAGTTTCTCTGCGTTTGACAAGAAGTTGATTAGTCTTGTTGAATTTTATCCAAATGATTTTTTTTTCATTAAAGCTCACAAGGCTTTGTGATCAGCTTGACAGTTATGTAGTTGATGTGCGCTCTAGTATGAGTTTGCAAACCTCTTAGGGATTGGTGATCTAGCCCAAAAAATGGTTGAGACAAAAAAAAATGTGGTATATCCACTGGTTTTCTTACTTATGACTTCGATATTAATATTACCAGCTCCAAGTGCCATTATCGAGAGAGCATTTTCAGTAATGAAGATTGTGAAAACTTGATTGCGTAATTGAATGAGTAATCAATGGATGACAGATAGTTTGCTTACTTACATAGAGAAATATATTTTCGATGACATTGATAATGAAGTTATCATGCAGTGCTTTCAAAGTGTGAAGACTTGTCAAGATCAATTTTAAATGGTTGTAATTAGCCTTATTTTTTTTATAGTTAACCTTTTTTTAGTTGTTGTTTTGTTTGCATAGACTATATATACTTTCTTTTGGCTTATCTATGTTCAATTAATTTTTAAGTATCATATATGATGTAAAAAATATAAATATATTACATTATTTTTATATAGTAGAGGAAAAAGTAAAACTTGTAGTTACTCACCCTCAAACATAATCCTGACTCCTCCATTGAACAAATGGATTGTTATGTAGATCTACATCTCAATGACGATATTAGTAGATAGCGTGGGTTTGATCTTGAGTGAGAACTCAAAAAGATCAACCTCAAATGAAATCTTGAGCAACGAGAATATTTGGCTTTCGAATATGTCAATCATGGGCAGGACCTGAATGCCATCTACAGTTTGAGATCTGCGTGATAACCAGAGAGTACAGAGAGGAGAGAAAGAAGAAGACGTCGCCTAATTCAAGCAACAACTTAGGCGTGAAAAAAAATATATAATTGTGGAAAACTCTATGGGAAATGTGGTATACTCAAAGGTGCATTTGTAATTGTTAAAAAAAAAAATCAATCAGAGTGAACTAGAGAATAAAAAAAATGCACTTGACATGTTCTTATTAGCTTAAAAGTGTTTGTGGGTGGACTTATGGCCAATTTTCACTAAATCATTATAGTCAAATGACACTTAATTGATTTGGGGTGTAATTTAGTGGGATTGGATTAGTTGAAATGTTAGTCTTAACTCAATATATAAAACTCCCAAATTAAGTTTAACACAAATTTCAATTTAATCCTAATATTATAATCTAAAGTTTTTCCCATGATTAAAGTTTTGAAGTTGGGTTGTATCCGAGTTACATAACTCAAGTTGAAATGAGATTGAATTTAAATTTGATTGTTGAACTACATAATCAGTGAATAAAAAGCGATTTGACGATACAATAGACCCGTTCATTAAACATTAACAGATTCAGAAATTGAGGTTTCTATTCATGCTTAATTTGGTTTGAATTTGAATTCAATAACTAAAAGTTGGATTCAAGTTGAGTCCCAAAACTCCAAAAATTCAATTTTTATATTGCTCTAATTTGAATCAAACTAAAATTATTTTATCCAAATTCAATTTAATTATTAAGATCTCTACTTAACTAATAAAAACTTCAAATTAAAATCCACATGGGTAATCCAGCTGTGTAGGTTGGACTTGTTGACTATGCAAGTATTTGTTATATAATTAGATTCAATTATCTACTGCTATATGTAACTAACATGGTATAATAAGTAAGGCGAGACTGGGCACTTACAGCGAGGCANGATTCAATTATCTACTGCTATATGTAACTAACATGGTATAATAAGTAAGGCGAGACTGGGCACTTACAGCGAGGCAGACCAGAACTAACTTTTAAATAAGAAAACCAGAATAATATTAGCCTTGTGATCCACAGCTTCCTTAAACAGATTTGCTCCCTCTTGGTGCTCAAGATTGATGAACAACTGTCTCTTAAGATAGAACAGACTTTTTACTCTTGAAGAAGCAACACTATAATCTCCAATAATCAGCGAAAACAACTTGATGCCTTGTACTTGAATCGTAGACAACAAAATGCAATAGATAGTATACAAAGAGAGTGAAGTATGAAAATCAGAAGAATTGTTTCTGAATTTCAGCATATTCCAAATGGTAGTAAAGGTCGCCCTTTTATAGACTCCGGGCGCCTATTCAATTAAACTGAATAGGTAAGGGATGTCATTGTTCATCACACTTGTTCAGACACACTTTGGAAGATGACAGATACATGGCGCGTATTTTAAAAATTAATTTAAAATACGGTTAGGTTAGGGACTAGAAGGCAAAGGCAGCAGATCGCAAGGCAAGGCAGGACGAGATGACCACGGGAGGGGTGCCCCAAGCCAAGGCACCAAAGCCTTGGGCCCCACTTTCCAAGGGGCCAAGCAAGGCAAGGTGCAAAAAGCCTTGGGCGCCACTTGCTGGCTCCCTTGCTTGCTTCATCCACTGCTCCGATATGATCCATTTTTGACTCAATTTCGAATCCAAAATTCAATTTATTATACCAATCCAAATTGGTAATTTTTGAGACATAATTTCTTATTCAANTATTAAGATCTCTACTTAACTAATAAAAACTTCAAATTAAAATCCACATGGGTAATCCAGCTGTGTAGGTTGGACTTGTTGACTATGCAAGTATTTGTTATATAATTAGATTCAATTATCTACTGCTATATGTAACTAACATGGTATAATAAGTAAGGCGAGATTGGGCACTTACAGCGAGGCAGACCAGAACTAACTTTTAAATAAGAAAACCAGAATAATATTAGCCTTGTGATCCACAGTTTCCTTAAACAGATTTGCTCCCTCTTGGTGCTCAAGATTGATGAACAATTGTCTCTTAAGATAGAACAGACTTTTTACTCTTGAAGAAGCAACACTATAATCTCCAATAATCAGCGAAAACAACTTGATGCCTTGTACTTGAATCGTAGACAACAAAATGCAATAGATAGTATACAAAGAGAGTGAAGTATGAAAATCAGAAGAATTGTTTCTGAATTTCAGCATATTCCAAATGGTAGTAAAGGTCGCCCTTTTATAGACTCCGGGCGCCTATTCAATTAAACTGAATAGGTAAGGGATGTCATTGTTCATCACACTTGTTCAGACACACTTTGGAAGATGACAGATACATGGCGCGTATTTTAAAAATTAATTTAAAATACGGTTAGGTTAGGGACTAGAAGGCAAAGGCAGCAGATCGCAAGGCAAGGCAGGACGAGATGACCACGGGAGGGGTGCCCCAAGCCAAGGCACCAAAGCCTTGGGCCCCACTTTCCAAGGGGCCAAGCAAGGCAAGGTGCAAAAAGCCTTGGGCGCCACTTGCTGGCTCCCTTGCTTGCTTCATCCACTGCTCCGATATGATCCATTTTTGACTCAATTTCGAATCCAAAATTCAATTTATTATACCAATACAAATTGGTAATTTTTGAGACATAATTTCTTATTCAAATAGTAATAGTTTTGAACAAATAATTAAATCATGGTCTCACTAATTTTGCTATGTGAGAGTCAACAAATAATTAAATCATGGTCCCACTAATTTCAACGTGTGAGTCCCATTTTTAATTTATTTTTCATAACCATTTTTTCTAACAATCTCTCACATTAATGATAATTTGATGTACAATAATGTAGACACTGGTTCAAGTACAGTGAAATGTTACTGCATTAGGATAAATAGCCAGTGACATTAAACTTTCTATAGTGAAAGACTATCAGATTTACTTAGCTAACAAGTGAACATAATGTCTTTGAACTGTCAATCATTTGTGTAAACAAAGACAATAGAATTCACATAATTTCCCTTCGAATACGGTTGATTCTCACGTTTATGTTCATTTTTGCCTTGAACGCCACTTGGTTTCATGAGTAATATTAGAGTAATTAGTTTACAATTCTCATAGAAGCAGTCTCTTTCTTACTCACATAGGTATTTTTTATTAAGAATATCCTTTTATACCCTACTTGGACATTTCTAAGTCACAGAATGTCATTAAAAGCGTAACTTACTCTAGTTCTTGTTGCAGATGTGCAATATCTCATCATAGGAATGGGAAGGAATTAAAAACCTCCTCAGTGCATCTCTGAGTTACACATAATTCGGTTGTCATTTTAAACTTAGATATCGGGATCTCTAGTCAGCTAAGTTGAGTTGCCATTATGGTGAGTTTTGGTTAAATAATAGGTTTTAAGCTCATTATCCTTGATGAACTTTCCACTTGCTCTCTAGTTAAATCTTTTGTAAACGGAATCCGCAGTTTTATCCTTTGATTTCACATAGTCAATGGATATAACAACATTAGATAACAATTGTCTAACGGTATTGTGTTAACGACATATGTATCTAAAATTGCTGTTATACATACAATTATGTGTCCTTCTAATCATAAATTGGCTATCACAATGACTGCATACTGTAGGCACAGGCTTTGGCAAATTTTGAATATCCTCTAAGAAGTTACGAAGCCATTTTGCTTCTTCTCCAGTTTTATCTAAGGCAATGAACTCAGATTTGATTGTAGATCTAGCTATACAAGTTTGGTTTGAGGATTTTCAATACACAGCTGCCCAGCCCAAGGTAAAGATATATCCATTCGTGGATTTTGAATCTTTAGTATCGAATATCCAATTAGCATCGGTATATCTCCAGTACTGTTGGGTACTTCGTGTAGTTTTAAGTATATTTTAAATATCTCAAAACTCTAATAATTGTTTTCCAGTTGTCCTTTTTGGGATTACTTGTATATCGACTTAGCTTACTCACTGAGTATACTATATTCGTACTGGTACAATTCATTATGTACATTAAACTACCAATTATACGTGTATATTTAAACTGTGATATATTTTTACCATTATTCATAGAGAGATAGATATTAACATCGACAGGTGTTCTCATAAGTTTTGTCGCATACTTCTTGAACTTATCAAGTACTTTATCAATATAATGAGTCTGAGATAACATGAGTTCATTTGACATTATAAAAATTTTAATTCCTAACCTAGGTCTTTCATTTCAAACCTATTTGTCAATATTCGCTTGGTAGTTTTAATGACATCATTATTGGTATCTATAATTAGAATATCATCTACATAAAGACATACAATAACGTATCCACTATGAGTGCTCTTGATATATACACATTTGTCACACTCATTTATTTTGAACCCATTTGACAATATTGCCTTGTCAAATTTTTCATGCCACTTCTTCGGTGCTTGTTTTAAACCATACAGAAATTTAAAAAACTTGCATACTTTATTTTCTTGTCCATTAGCAATGAACCCCTCATGTTTTTTTATGTATATTTCTTCATCTAATTCACCATTAAATAATATTGTCTTTACATCTATTTGATGTATTTCAAAATCATTCAATGTAGCTATAGCAATTAACATCTGTATAAAGGTAATTCTAGTAACTGGTGAATATGTGTCAAAATAATCCAATCATTTCCTTTATTTATATCTTTTGACTACAATTCTAGCTTTGTACGTGTCAATGGATCTATCGGCTTTCATCTTTTTTTTAAAGATCCATTTATAGCCCAAAAGTTTGTTACTAGTAGAAGATCCACCAACTCCCATGTATGATTCCTCATAATGGATTCAATTTCAGAATTAACAACTTCCTTCCAATAAGGAGCTTCGAAGGAGGACATAACTTCTTTAAAATTTTCAGGATCATTTTCTAATAAATAAGTTAGAAAATCAGGACCAAATGACTTCGATGTATTTGTCCTCTTGCTACGTCTAGGTTCATCTTCAATGAACTCCTTGTTTTGACCATTACTACTTGTAGACTTAATTGGTCTCTTTAACGAGATTGATTCATGTGATATATTAAATAAAAAATTATTTTTAAAGAATGACGCATTTCTTGACTCTATAATTGTATTAATATTCACATCACAAAATAAATCGATATGCACTACTATTATGGGCATAACCAATGAATACACAATCAATAGCTTTTGGTCATATCTTAACTATTTTAGGTTTAGGAACTGTCACTTTTGCTAGACACCCCCACACTTTTAAGAATTTATAGGATTGTCCGACCTTCTATAATTCATATGGTGTCTTATTAGTTTTCTTCTGAGACACCTTGTTAAGAATATTATTAGCAATTAATAAGGTCCCCCCCCCCCCAACAAGTTTTGAGGTGCTCCCAAACTTGACAACATAGCATTCATCATTTCTTTCAATGTTTGATTTTTGCGTTTAGCTATGTCATTTGATTAAGATGAGTAGGGGCATTCGTTTGGTAAATGATTTCATGTTTTGCACAAAACTCCTCAAAAGGAGATTCATATTCACCACCTCTATCACTTCTTGGTGCATTTATCTTTCTACTAAGTTGATTCTCAACTTCATTCTTATAATGCTTGAACATATCAATAGCCTCATCATTAGTTCTAATTAAGTAAACATAAAAATATCTTGTATAATCATCAATAAAAGTGATAAAATACTTTTTACAACCTCTTGTTTGCACAAACTTTAAGTCACAAACATCACTATGAATTAATTCAAGAGATTCAGTACTTCTTTCTATTGAATTGAAAGATGTTCTTGCCAACTTTCATTCCACACAAGTCTTATATTTATGATTTGAATCAATAGACATCAATAAATAAAACTTGATTGCAATCAATAAATAAAACTTGATGAATTTCTTTGATCCTTGAATTTTATTCCATGATGTTGGCTTTGGATTCCATTGGGTTAAAGATATCATTTTTCTTTTTAGATTTATGGTTGTCTTCTTCTATCCTCAAATGAACAATTAATTCATCAAGTTTCATCTCCTTGTGCTTGTACTTGAGATAGTTCTTAAACTCCTTTCATTGGGGTGATAATTTTTTCACAATTGCAGCGACTTGGAATGATTCACTAAGAGACATACCCTTGGCATGGATGTCATGAAGGATTAATTGAAGTTCTTGAACTTGGGATAACTCTCTTAAAATATATCGTTTTGAAATTAAAGAACTTGCCAACGATAAATTTCTCTGTGTCAGCATCTTCAGTCTTGTGCTTTTTGTCCAAGGAGTCCCAAAGTTCTTCTGAGGTTTTGGCAACACTATAGACATTATATAGTACATTGTCTAACTCATTGAGGATGTAATTTCTACACAAGAAATCTGAATGCTTCCAAGTAGCCACCTTTTCCACATTAGTTTCATTTTCCCCAATTGTAGGAGCATCTTCCTTAAGAAATTTTGCAATTTTAAGGGTGGTGAGATAAAAAATCATCTTTTTTTGCCAATGTTGAAGTCTAAGCCATTAAATCTCTCAGGCTTCTCCCCATGGGGCACAATCACAATCATAAGAACAACTGTAGGTACAACAATTGTACGAGGAGGAATAGAATCATTTGTACTTGTAAAACCCGAATACATATGACAACCACATAAATAATTATTATGAGTATGTGTATGACGACCATGTAAATATTATTACGAGCATAATCATGCGATATGACTGTGCTCGACAGGTACCTACTAATTAAAAATGAAAAATTGATTGGGTGTGGGGTAATTAAATGGGTATACTTCATGTGACATAATTAATTTACTTGATATATGTTAGTGCACATAAGATTAAGTGGGGTGGTGAGCATGTGATATTAATTTGAGTATTACAAAAAAATAAATAAATAAATTAGTGTGCACAATATATATATATATATACTTTGCACGATTTATTTATATATTCATATATATATCCTTGTGTACACATATACATATATGTATATCATGATTAATTGTGGCTAGGAAGATGAGGGGGAAGAGTAATGGTTTGGGCGAGAGAAGAAGTGAGAGTGTCATCATTGTGCATGTGTAGGGAAATATAAAAGGAAGAAAAAAAAAGACTCTTCAAGACTTGGCCATTTTTGGCTAAGGCAAAACCCAAGAGGCAAAAGCCATTTTCGGCTAAGGCAATGAAGAACAAGAAATGAAGTAAAAAAAAAAAAAAGAAGAAGTAGAAGAAAGGAAAGAAAGGAAAATAGTTTGGGTGGTGGTCTTGTGGTGGTGCAAGAGGTAGGCTATGAGGAACCATTTTCTTTATTTTTTTTGTTGCTTGGAAAAAAATAGTATAAAATTATTGTTTGAGATTTGGGAATTTAAGCATGCATGTTGGGTGTTGTTTAAGATTTGGGAACTATGTTGATGAAATAGTATAAAAATTAGTTAAGCATACATGTTGGGAATTACTTTAGATTTGAGAATTTTTTTTATGTATATAGTAGAGTGTTGCATGTAGATGTTAAAATGATGTTTGATTCTGTGTGTATAATACCATCGTTTTTGATACGGAAATTGATATAAGGTGTAGGTGGGTATGTAGCATCAAGTGTTGT